TTGCAAAATGCACTTTCTCAGGGATGCCACCAGCCAAGACGCCAACATCAAACTGGCATCAGTCACTGCACGGGGCCTCCATAACATTTTGGATTTCATTTACTCTAACAAGCTTGAGCTGACCCTCCAGAATGTCGAGGAGACCTTCAAGGCTGCAGAAGCGCTGCTGGTCCGGGAGGTGATCCTGCTGTGCTTTCGGTTTTTGGAGGAAGGCTTGAATCAACACACCTGCCTGGAGATCCTCAACATTGCAAAAAGGCTTGGCCCAGAAGGCCTGAAGCAGAAAGCCAGAAGCTGCGTGGGCCAGCACTGCTGTCAGATCCTGACAGATCCACTGCAGCTGAAAAAGCTCGATGGGGATACTCTACGGGAGATCTTGGAGGGAGCAGACACCGAGGCCCTCAGTGAACTGGAACTCTTCCATGCAGCTGTGTGCTGGATACACCATAGCAGTACGCACCTGAGAGATGCAGCCGACATAATAAGGCACATACGCCTTCCCCTTATCCCTCTGCACGATCTGCAGAAAGTCATCTGGGAAACGCCCATCATGAAGACTGACCCTACATGCCGCCGGTACCTTCAGGAAGCCCTGGCCTATCACTCCCGGCCATACGCACAGCCTGCCCTCCAGACAGAGCATACAAAGGTCCGAGCTAGCACAGATACGCTGCTTGTCCTTGGAGGCAGAACGGCAGACAATGCAGTCTGTGGAGACGTATGGGCTGCCAATCAGAGTTGTCATTTGTGGGGAAAGGTAGCGGACCTCCGGAGCCCTGTCTACAACCACTGTGTTGCAGTGATCCAAAACTTTGTCTTTGTGATGGGGGGACAGAGGACATTTGACCCTACAGGACAACGTCCATCAAATGAGGTAAGTGCAGAGCTTTATTGAAAAGGAATTCTGCACCAGCTAATTCCTGCGTAGCATAGCCTGAATGTACAAACAGGCCACAATTTCATCCCACAACCAGCCTCAGCATTCATGCTTCTGAGTTACTTAATGGTGAAAGTTAGATTCCCCCTAAAGCAGGCAACTTCTCACTGTAGTTTCCTATCTTTATATGGGTGCATATTGTTTAATGATCCTTCAGTCACTGTCCCACGTCTTTTCTTTCATTCTCAAAGCTTCTCAAAGACAATACTTAAGAAAACTATCTATTCACAGTCACCCACTCACCATCACCAATCCCCTGTTCCACTTAACACTCCCACTCGTCTAATTTTATGCTCGTTTGGGATCTCTTTGTACTCCCCAGCTGCTTCACAATCTGACAAGCTAAACAGTCATCACACTGTATGCTTCCAAGGCTTGCAGGAGCGCACAGGTGTTTGCTCAAATGCGCAGCATGATTAAGGGATGGAAAGAGTCCACACAAATGGGAAATGCGTGTGTGACTGTGGGATATGCCCACAGTAGCAGTCCTTGTGTATCAAGACACAGAGGCAGAACGATCCATCCTACAACAATGGGGCACCAGTGCAGACCCCTTGTAACCCAGAGGCACAAGTGACTGAGCAAATGGAGGCCAGCCACATCAGTGAGCCTCATCCAGCTTTTAATTCTGGGTTTCTAAGGCAATGACTCTCAGTCTGCAAAGTGGGCCTCCCCAAAGGAAGGACAGGTGACATCTACGGCACAAGAAGCTCCCTTTCTGTGTGCTGCTCAGGCCAAGAAACTTAGCGCTGCTTTACCTCCTCCCCACCCGTCATGTAAGCAAGCTGCATGAGTTTCGTGATCCACACCTCTGTTGATGTGTCCCAGTCCCCCAGCAGCAGCAGCTGCCACCTCTTCCCTGGGCCACTAGGATTTTTGCAAATGTGTTCTAAAAAAAGCCAACTCTAGAATATTGTTATATGGATATAACATTACTAGGAATAAGGCCCGTTGTGGAAATGAATACAACAACCTCTAGAAAAAGGCTCTGGACGAGTGCCCCAGCCTTGGGCTCTCAGCATCGATTTTCTGTGGCAACCTCAGCAGGGTATAATGACACAGAGTCCACCCTTTTCTCCAGGGGAATTGATCTCTGCCATCTGGTGAACAGTTGTAATTCTGAGTGATCTCCAGTGCTCCCCTGGATATTGGCAACAATGGTTCCCCAGGAGGGGACCAAAGCAGCTTACGTCATTCTCCTCTCCCCCTTTTGGCTTGCACAACAACCCTGTGAGGTAGGTTAGGCTGAAAGTCTGTGACTGGTCCGAAATCACTCAGCTTCCACAGCAAAAACCTGAGTCTGGCAGACCCTGCTCTGAAGCACTAACTGCTATGTCACACTGGCTGTGGTATCGCCTGGTATCACAACTGAACTCCAGACAACAGATCTCTCTCTCCCCCTGGAGGCTGTGGAAGGTCAGTAGTTCAGCAGTTCGAGACCAGAGTTGTCGCATGATGGAGTGAGCTCCTGTCCCTAGTTCCAGCTCCTGCCAACCTAGCAGTTCGAAAGCAAGAAATTGCAAGTAGATAAAAAGGTACCACTTTGGTGGGAAGGTAACAACGTTCTGTGTGCGTTGGTGTTTAGCTATGCCGGCCACATGACCACGGAAACGTCTTTGGGCAGCGCTGGCTCTTCGGCTTTGAAACGGAGATGAGCACCGCAACCCTAGAGTCGAACTCGACTGGCTTTCAAGCAAGGGAACCTTTACCTTTACCTTTTTTAGGCCCCTCCATATGCCTTTTCTTTTATCTTGAGCAACAGAAGGCGTTATAGACTTACTTTTTAAACGGAAAAAAAATGAAACCTGGGAATACAGAGAAACTGCTAAACATATTCTTATAAAGTTATAACATTCTAGTGCTATTTTTTTAAAGAATAAAAATAAAAAGCCCTCCTGCAAATAGCCCAGGGGAAGAAATGGTCACCATGGGGACAGGGAAAATGGCTGCTGTGTGTGTGGGAAAACCCAAATTTTCCCAACTACACAGCAACCATCCAGGCTTTACTGCAATGCTTCCAAAAACTTAACAGCAAAGCTGGCTTGAGAAAGACTGGAGAAAAGCAACAGAAACCCTGAGAGGTGTAAGAATGCACCACAATACTGTGGGGAAGCAGGGGGGGGAAATACTTCCTGAAGTATTGAACCGGGGGCAGAGAACAAGTGTGGAATGCACCTCTGACTCTGTTTCACATACGTACTGGAATTCACCACCACCCCTGAGTTGTGCAGTCTTGGAGAGGGTTGCAAACGTCCAAGCATTTCATTCCTTCTTCCCTTCTTCCACTATCCTTATGTCAATAATGGTTTGGAACATGTTTCATTCAGCTGCTGCCTAAAAACAGCCTGTTGCTGAGTGCTGTAGTCTTCTTTTCCTAAGTTTAGGGGGCAGGGTCTGGAGGCATAACAACCAACAGAGTGGTCTACAGCTGAACTCAAGGCAGGTATTTCAGACCCATGTAGCATGATAATCATAATGGAACTGTCTGTAAACAAGGCTGTTGGGTTTCACAGAGACTGTCAGAAATGGAATGTACTATCCCGAAATTACTAGGGTGGAAGTTTTTTACTCTCTCCCAAGCCACTATAGTGCAGTCCCCCAAAACTGTCCCTGCCAGTTTGTAGCTCAGAATGGGATGAGCTCAGTATTAACGGTTGCAGAGTGACATAATATCAGAACATGGGAAAACAGTAGTCATTGCTTTGAAGAGACTCCTCTGCTTCCAACCCAGCTAACGTTCAGCAGTTGTTGGGGTGGGGTGTATCTGATGCAATCCTACAAAAGCACTCCTCTTCTGGTTCTAGGTGTTCAGGTTTGACCCCCGTCATAATTCCTGGCTCCAAGTGGCAAGCATGTTGGATCGACGGACTCGCTTCCACGCAGATGTGCTGAATGACCGTCTTGTGGTCATCGGGGGAGGAGCATTGCTGGGGACGCTCACCAATGCGACAGAGGAGTACTGGCCTGCTGAGAATGAGTGGCGGCCCATCACACCCTTCCCAATGCCTGTGGCTGACCACGCGGGAACAACCCACAAGGGGATCCTCTACATTTCAGGTGAGAGGCAGCAGCTGCTTTGACAAGGGATTGTGTTGTTATCAGCAGTCACATCTCATGAAAAGGCTAGGTACAGGCAATTCCAGAATGGGAAGAGCTCAGCTGCCAGGAAGTATCCCTCCTTCCCTTCTAGGATAATACTCTTACCCAGCCAACAGATCTTGAGAGACCTTAGCCTAACTACAGAGCACATGTTCTGCACGGATGCTTGAGTCCTGATCATCTTGGGGAGCAGGGCATGAAAAGATTCAAAGGAATGCAGGTGGTTCCACCTACACCCCACAAAAGCAGCTATGGAAGGGTCACTTTCACCCTTTTCCACTAGGTGGCTTCTCTGCTGGCAAAACCTCCCGTGACACATACAGCTACCTTTCCCGCCTGCGTCGCTGGATTAGGAACCGACCGATGACGTTTGCCCGGTGTGACCATGGAATGGCAACAGTTGAAAACAGAATCTTTTGTATTGGAGGAAGGACACTGAACAATGTAGGTTGACTCTTCAGTCAGTGCAAAGGCCGAAATGTGACAGTCTCCATTCTTGTTGCCAGCCATGCTCTTGGTTCCATGCCTACTGGCTCACTGTCATGATTCCTTTATTTGTAAGGGGAAGGGGACCTCTTTTCAGTGTAATTTCATTCATTTTTAATGGCTCTAGAGGAAGAAGGAGTTATCTCCACTCTAGCACTTGGCCAGACCTTAATATTAAAGAGCCAGCCCCACTCAGTCAGAACAGAGAGTATGGGGGTTGTCTGGAGGACCTACAGGTCAAAGGAAAACTTGCAGATAAACCAAAACTCACCATGCTCAAACTAGCAGCCATTCACACAATAATCTAATCTTCTTAAGACAACTAGCACAGAAGCATTCCAGACCCTAAAATATGACAATCCTCCAGAATTCACAAGTTCTTTAGAAACTCTGCCACCATTTGACTACAGGTTAGGATATTCTGGTGCTTGTGATCAATGAAACACCTAAATGGTGCACCATCATCCACTCACTAGCATGGGCTAATTAGGAGAGAAGAACACTCTCCTGTAGAAGCTCCCTGCAAAAAAAAGTTATGCCAAGGCTCAGGCAGTATGCCCAGAGGGGGGAGATACACTGTGAACCCTAAAAGGACTTTGGGGTCAAGCTGGGTCACCATTCAGAGCAACTAGAATATTGCCCTTTATGGGCTAGAGATGGCCTGTGCCTCCTCCCACCTTTCTGCATCACAGAGCCTGACACACAGTGAAATTCAATGGCCTTTTGGTCCTTTACAGGAGGAGGACTGGATTCCCATCAACGAGGCGGAGTCTTACTGCCCAGTCACTGATCAGTGGACCCTACTCAATCTCTCACCCTTTGATCGTTGCCAGTTTGGCCTGGCGGTGCAGCAGTCTCAACTCTACATCACAGGTGGTGGGTCCCTGCGGCACAGGAAAAAAGATGATGGTGTCTTTGTCTGCAGCCCTGGCAGAAAAGTGTGGGAGAAGGCCGGTTCCTTGCCCCAGGCACTGGTGGATCACGCCTGTTGCTTTGTTCAGTTGCCTCATCAGCCCGAGGCCAAGCAGCAGCAGAAGGCAGTGGAGCCTGCAGCCACCAGCAAGAAGAAATCCACCCTCAGCCTTTTCCTCGCCAACAAGTATGTTCCTTAGGGAGGAAGACTTTTTAGGGAAAATCCAGCAGGAAGTTCTCCTCCTGAAATGAGCAGTAGCAGCAACATTCATTCCAAATATGGGCCGCCACCTCTATTTTTCTGGATCTGGCACAACCTGGGGAAAATTCAGCATTCACATAGGCTTTGGAAGGGATGTCTGACTGAAACTCACCAATAAGAGCTGCCAAGCCTCTGAGCCGGTCCTGGCTTGCCAGAATCAGTTCACAGCCAACCTGGTTTGACACATACAGACACTATGTTAGGTTTTATCTTGCCTCTCCTCTAAGGAATTGAGGACAGCATACACAACCCAGCCCCTACACAGACTCTCTATCCTCACATAGCAGACCACCCAAGCTTTTTCAATAGCAGGACACAAAATCTATGCGACTCTGCGTTGTGTATCCATCCCCCCTGTTAGCTGCTCAAGAACTCTGATGTGGCAACATCGTCACTGAATGTCGAAGTCAAGAGGGGCTACACTTGGCATACAGGTATTGGATATGACTTAAATGTGAGTTAAGTGGATCTGAGGCTTTAATTATTATTTGCCTTGTGTCAGTAATACTTCATAAAGCTCCATTTCATGACGTAATTGTAGTGGAATTAAATATGCACTGTTCAGAAACTTCCTTGCTAACCATCTCAGGCAGGCCACACTTGCCCTGTAGGCTACAGACTGGATACCCATGTAACAGGTACATACCAAAGGTCACTGGGGAGCTCTGTGCCTGAGTTGGGATATGAACCTGAGTTTCCACAGTCCTAGTCTGACATTCCAACCACTACACTAAACTATCTTTCAAGCAGCTAAACTGAAACCAACAGACAGCTTCTACTGCCTTAGCTTCAACAAAGTGGTGCGGTGGCACAGGGGATTTATCCTCTGGTTAAACATCTGAGCTGAACAGGACTGCTGTCAGTTCCAGCCCCACGCTGGTGTGAGCAACCAGCCTTGTCCACAGCTCGCCGTCCACCCAGCGGTTCGAAAGCTTCAGCGAGTAGATAAAATGGGTACCACTCCTTAGAGAGAGTGGGCACACTAAACCCCTGGTGGCGGTGGTGTTAGCCGACGAGCGGAAGGTTCGCGCGTAAGATCGAAAGCCGAGAGAGATCTACGCAGCATCAAAAAAGTAGCATGTAATGGGCCATTCTGGCCAGACGGTGGCAGTGCTGCGCTGCGACTGAGAAAAAACGCTGACGACATCAAGCAACGCCGAGTGAGAATGCTGCCGGAACACGTCTGAAGCTTACAGATGACCAAACTCCTCGTCGGCTACAAAAATGTGTGTGAATTAAAAAGATATATGTTGTCCTCCCTTACCCCTATCATTGTTAGTCCCGTGTGAATTCATGAGTAACTGTAAATCGCTCAGAGCCGGCAGCTCTGCAAGGATTGAGCGATCAATAAATTGAAAGATTATTATTATTATTATTTCCAAAAACGGAAGGAAAACGGGGACTAGCAGAGGCTGCAGGGTAGAGCCAAGAAGATGGAAGAGTGACTTTAAAAACAAAACAAAATAATTATACCTAGAGCCAACAAAGGGCAGTTTTGATGTAACATTTTAGGGTTTCACCCCAGCAGAAAGCTCCAAGTGATGCTGTAATTCCCTATAGTGTACACCCTAGAGGGAAAAGCCAATTCTCACATCACCAGCAAAAAAAATACTTCACTCCTAACCTTTACCCTCTGCTTCTATATTATCTGGTCCAGAATTGAGGTACTTCACTGCTAGTAAAGTGAATTAGTTGTGTTTGAAAGTGTAGCTGCAAAATGTGTTCCATCTCTCCTAGGGTTTCCAGGGAAAATGGACCAGCTGTTAAGCCCAGGTTAGCTCACCCGCAGAAATTGTGAATTGCATTCTGAGCAGGAAAGCAGCCTTTACACAAACAGAATATGTGGGGGGGGGGGTTTTGCATACAAAGCATAGAAATGATTAATGTTGATATATGTTAGTTAATCCTGTGTTTTTGCAGGCTACTAATTTTTGCGGATTTACACAGCTGGTTAATCCAGTTGAAGTCTGTAGTGCTGATACTCCCTAAAAAGGGTTTAGCACAGCCCAGTGGAGGTCTGGTAGTGGAGGTGAAGCCACAGTAATGCTGGGACAGCAGCTTTCTGAAGCAAGCAAAACACGCCTGAGCCATACATCCTAGAGGCGCTCACCTTGACTGGATTTGCTGGCAAGTGGCCCATGAAGTCAGTCTTGTAAGGGTAGTCCATCATAGCCATCATGGTGAAGGCATTCCGGGCAAATTCAAACAACTGGTAGACATCTTCCTTAGAAGAAAGCTTCTCACAAATGGACATCTTACTGCTGATTGTATCATACGCTGTAGGCAGCAGGGTAATAATAACAGTAATCGCATGGCAGCATGCGTTTTATAGCCAGGAGATCCGAGGATTGTCTGGCAGCCAAAGTTCTAACTCTTTAGCGTTAGGCATCACTAGATGGCAATCGAGACTTGTTGGTGGGCTGAAAGAGCTCTGAGAGCTGTGACTGACCCAAAGTCACCCAGCTGGCTTCATGTAGAGGAGTGGGAAATCAAAGCTGGTTCTCTGGATTAGAGTCCTGCCGCTCTTGACCACGCCACCAAACTGAATCTCATGTGTAATGCAGTAAGTGCAGAAAACTGATGTATCGCTTAGATGTCTAAGATTTCTTCTGTCTCTTAACAGCAAAATGAAGTTTAAACATATTTAAGGAAACATTCACCCTGACCTGAATAGCCTCGGCTAGCCTGATCTCTTCAGATCTCAAAAGCAAAGCAGGGTTGGCCTCGGCTAGTATATGTACGGGAGACCTCCAAGGAATACCAGGGTCATGACGCAGAGGCAGGCAATGGCAAACTACCTCTGAACATCTCCAGGGCTATTTGGGGAGCCCAAGTCAGCTGGAGGGCCCTTGAAGTCAGCGTCATGCTGCATTCAGCCAAACATCTTTCCATTATTTTTTTAATGAGGTTCTGGCTGCAGCTACTAGGAACGCAGGGAAGTCTGAGCACAGTAAAAGGCATTCTAACTATTGGCCAGATTTCCCTTTCTCCGAGACTGAAGCAAACTTGCCTAACAGAACACAATAAGCCCATCAACCAAGCCAGCACTGTCATGGCTGCTACAGTAACTGCCAGTTCCTGCTATATTCATGAGCTCCTGCTATATTCCTGTCCCTATACATACTCTCTGTATATAACCAAACCATTTTTGCCAACTTAAACAGGACAATTTTACATTTTTGCAAAAATAAAACATGCAAACCAGCTGAGCAGCTCTGTCTAAGGAGAAAGCAAATTTGAGGAAATGTTAACTGATTTGAGCTGCAGTTGAGGAAATAGCTTGCCCAGTCTGGGAAGGAACTGTTTGCACCTTGCAAAATAGTCTTTCCTCATTCTTTGAAATCCAGTGTGATGGTGATTCTGAGCAGTAGGGCTTCTTTATGGTGATAACCACCATACACTCAGGGAAACAGCTTTCCCAAACCTCTCTGAAAACTTCACTTTGTCTGTATGCTCCTGGAGTTCACAGTACTGAAAAATTATCAAGAAAGAAACTGCTCACTGCTCAACAGGTTATCTTATCTTACCTCCAGCTAGATAGGAGTCTTTGATTTGCCAGAATGCTTCTTGCACAGTCTTGACGCAATATGGACTGTAGTTCTGAAAATCCTATCAGAATGAAAGAGACAATGCGTAGTTCGATGTTAGCAGTTTAGTTTGAAACTGACATTACTTATTCCATTCATTTTTATGGAGAAATTAGATGGCATCATTGGCAACTTATCACATACTAGTGATTTCTGAGTTTTCTGGGGGTTATTTAGCCCTGATATGTGCTGATTTCATTTATAACTTAAAATGACATTACAGATCTAGGTTGTCTTACCAGTCAAATCACAATAGTAGGTTTTCCAAGGCTACTACCCCCTTAAATTATACTCCTTTCTACATCCAGCTCTGGCTCTCCCTGGCAATTTAATCACCTGTGAATTTTCAGATTCAGAAGGTTGGGGCGAGGGGCTTTAGTACTGCTTTTCAATTGGTAGCTGGCAAAATTACCTCTTTTTCAGTTATGAATATTATTTTGTAATTATGTTATTGTAATCGTATTTTTTTAAGTATGAGCAATCACTTATGCTGACCACAAAAAGAAAAGTGGTGCTTACGGCCTGACTTCTTCAGGAGAACAGGAACCAGTAATTAACAACTGATTCATGAGTGCTGCAACAGAATAGGAAGCAACTTGGTAGGCTGAAAATGGATGGATGAAAGGAAAACTGGGGGCACAGATGGAATTCTTGTTGAATGGAACCTACCAGTTGGGACATATATTTGCAGAGAATATAATGCTATGTTAAGTGATGTGCCTCTATTTCAATGTTGATTTTGGCTGACAGTAGGAGAGTCAGACTTCAGCAACACAAAACAACCCTTGTCTGGACAGTCTCAGTATCTCAGACTCACGAACGTGGCACAAGGCAGGTTCATCAAAATAACTGGATATTTTTTCACTCCTCCTTGCACATTCATACAAATCAATTTCTAATGGAGAGAAGACTGGCAAGGCCCGGTTTACGGGGATGAAGTTAAACCTAATCAAATCTCCTGCCATTTACCGCTGTGACATCCCTGAAGAACTGGTTGGCATCTCCAAGCCCAGCCACAGACAGCACGGGGGCACTGGCAGCAAGCGCCCCGGCCACTACGTGAGGATATTTCATTCTCATGTATGCACTGAGCATCCCTCCGTAACTGCAGAAATGAAAAGAGAGAGAGAGAAAAGCTACAAGGTCAAGAGTACAGCACAACTGCCTTCTCTGTGATGGTTCTGAACCAAGGGATCCCCAAGGGGAGGCAAAATATTACTGCTAATGGAAAAATCAGAATAGGTGGATGATGCAGGGGTCATCTCTCAATGGGAACTAGTCTGATGGCATAACTGGTTCGGCTCTTCCTGAAATGATTTCAGAAGCTGAGTCAAACTTTATTGCTCAATGTGTTGTCAAAGGCTTATTGCTCAAGCCTATGGCCATTATTATGCAACAGGCTGTCAGGCCTAAGGAAGGTATTCCCCCAGACAAATGTACTGCAGCAACAGTAGAAAAGAGAAAGGAAGAGCACTCACCTGCCTCCAAAAGCAATGACAGGAGAGTCCCTTGCTCCACACTGCTTCTTCAGCTCCATTATGAGCACTGCGTAGTCGGCAAGGGCTTGCTCCATGCTCAACAGACCAATTTGCTCCTTCTGTAGAGACGCTGCCCCAAATGGAAGTGACTTCCCATAATATCTCTGAAAGACGGTTACAGAGGCTGATGAAAACCGGCAATAAACACGTTAGCCTTTAGAGTGCCACAAGACTCTGTGTTTTGGGTGCCGCAGTCTGAAGCAGCTCCACCTCTGAGATGTTTCTAAACATTAAGAAGACTCATCTGACGCCATGATCTCTCCACCAGGTAGGAAGTTGTTGACTTCACTGGCAAATTAAACACACAACAACAGCGTTTGGCTCAGACACTGGCGCAGCAATCACTTGGGCACATTTTCCTGCTCCTACCTGCAAAATGTTGGCAAGACACTCACATGCTCCGCAAAGACCACCAAGGCGTTCTGCTGCTCTGCCAGCTCCAGGATGAAGCCACTATTCTGAGCAAAGTCCCAGATGTCTCCTTCATTCCCCGTGTAGAAAAAGATGGGGCCCACTCCCCTTTTCCAGAATTTATCTGTGTGAGATCAGCAACAGAAATACAATAGAGGAAATGGTAAAGACTTTTCACGACTCACAACCCAACTTTTCTGCTGACAAAGCTCCTGGGCTGTAGCAGCTGCCTTGCAAGCAGAAACCTACTGCATAATAATGACCATGGTTTTTAGCAACAAGTTTGACTCAGCTTCCAGAGAAGGTGTTACTAGCATACTAGTTGAATTCTCGCTTCTCAGGAAAAATTATCCAGCAACCAAACTGCAATTCCACATTGTACAGGGAGAAGGGTAATTACCCTATGTGCCTAAGGTCTGGACTTTTAACTTGGCCCTGAAGACCAGCATACATGAATATATGAAGCTGCATCATACCAAGTCAAACCATGACTCCCTCTTGCTCAGGATTGTCTACTCTGGTTCTCTAAGACCTAGAAAAGGTCTTTCACAGCATCTGCTCTATGAGTTTCTTTAACTGGAGAGTGTAAAGTAAAGACGATGACAACAACAACTGGAGAAAGACCTGGAGAATTCAAAACAGATGCTCTCCCCAGTGTCTCACAGATATTCCCCTTTCTTTCAATGGTGTTTCTGGAGCAATTTACTCTGATGTGCCAGGGAGAGACAAGTGCTCTCCAGAAAAATTGGAGGAGAAGCTCTATATGAATTGCTTTTTTGACAAATTATAAATCCTTTATTATACAGTTCTTATTATTCCCAAGTAGCATATGCATGTAATGAAATATAGCCAGCAAACTCCCCCCCCCCTTCCAACAGCCATGGTACATACCTGTGATGAGGTATCTCTGTGCAAAGGTTCTGTTGCCATATGATTCAAAATTGAAGTGATCCAGCCACTGCTCAAAATATTTCTCTTCAAAGTCAGGCTGGGGTGTTCTGTAAACTACAATGAAGTGCTGCTGTTAAGAGTTTGACTTCAAACAGCAGTTAGTCCACACACAAAGACAAGAAGCATATACCAAATCTTCCCAGTGATTGACAGGGACCAGGAAAGGGGGGCAGCTGGAGGGTCTACTGTACAGAACAGGCTGTGCACTAGAAACTGGAGGGGGGGGGGGAACGAGGCAGGTTTGAGAACTGAGGAACTGAGAAGGGCTAAACATTTGACCACAGCTCCCCCATCCGGTAATTTGCTGGGTTCAAAAGTAAACAGCCCACAAGTGTCCTGGTTAATCTTGTCTGAATTTACATCTGTTTGTTTCACACACAGTGCCACGTTAACTGCTGAGTACATATTACATATACTGCTTGAAATTGCCTATTTCTTGTTACTGATTAAACAGTACAAACATCAAAGAACAACTGCTGACAAATATAATTTTATATATTTAGTCTAGAGTTAGGAGGTCAAATTAGGACCAGCCAAGAAAATGTAAATTATACTGCATGCATCAAGGCCAGATTTCATCAATACATATCATCCATTGATGCTAATCCAGCCCTTCTTTCAAGCAGTTCAGGGCAGGCATCAGAATACATAACTTTCACTTCCCCATTTTACCCTTAAGAAGAGAAGAGATTGGATTCATACCTTGCCCCTCACTTGGAGTCTCAGAGCGGCTTGCAGTCTCCTTTCCCCTCCCCTCCCCACAACAGACACCCTGTGAGGTAGGTGGGGCTGAGCGACCTCTTTCGAGAACTGCTCTTGAGAAAACAGCTGAGAGAGAACTTGAGAGTGACCCAAGGTCACACCAGCAGCTGCTTGTGGAGGAGTGGGAAATCAAACCCAGCTCTCCCATCTTAGAGTCCGCACTCCTAACTACTGCACCAAACAACAGCTTCCTGTAGATTAGGCTGAGAAAGACAAATTGGGCCAAGGCCTGGCAGGAAAATTCATGACTGAAGTTTCTGTACCGGGGTCTCCCCCGTTCTCGCGCGGCACACCAACCACTGCACCATGCTGACCTTCAGGCTTCCAGAGCCAAGGCTTAGCCTTGGCCCGTGTGACTTAAGCTAGAACCTCGAAGCCCGTGCAGAGCGCCCATCCGTCCGACACGCAAAGTGACCGCTACCACCTATGATGTTAGTTGCAAGGGTGCCCCCGAGCATGTGCAGAATAGCCGTACCCCCGCCCGCTCTCACCGGTTCGCGCCTTCCCAGCCAGGCTCAGCAGCAGCAGAGCAAACCAGACTGCGAGCCGCGTCTCCATGGCAACCGCCGGCGGAGTACGAGGGGCTCCTTTTCGGGGGACTGGTCATGCGCGCCGCACCGGCTGAGAAAGGAGAGTCACATGCATGACAGCTGACGGAGACGTCACCGCGTAATTCCGTTCCGGGGAGGGGCTAATGAGGGCGCCGTAGTTACCGAGGCGCTGCCATCTTGAATTATGCGGGAAAGGTCGTGTAGCCAGATTGGCGGATGCGCTCGTCTCCCAGCCTCCCCATGAAAAGAACCGTGCCGCCGGGGTTCAAGCCTTTTGGCCTGCTTTCAAAGCACGCCGTGTGACCCCTGGCCAGTAGCACTTTGCTCGTGCTCAGAAACAACCATTCGCAAATCTCAGATGCGTGCCGTAGTTCAGGGGGAGAGAAAGTACGGAAGTGGCCCTTTATTGTTTACTCACACATTTCTGAGCGGGTGCAAATGTGTGTGTGTGTGTGTTTTTTAAACACAAACAGGTTCCCGCTCAAACTGAAGAAGAATTCACGTGAGATAGCCTCTTAATCCCTTCCCCTCCTGCAACTAAGCCTGAACGCCTATAATGGCGACAAATAGGGTTTCTCGCTGTTTATCCTGCCCTCCCCTCCTTTCGTTGTCTCTCTTGCGCTAAATTTTAGCCTGTAAACTCGTCAGGGGAAAGACCTTGTAAAGCACCATGCCCATTGATGGTACTTAATAATAACAGTGAAAAGCCTTGGAAAAGTCCAAGTCCGGTGCTTCCCTTTCTTCTCTTTTCCCCCTCTGCTGCTAAGGTTTTGAGGTTAGAACACCAAAACAAAGTTATGCTGTGCAGGCTGTGGTGCTTGTGTTCACAGGCATCTTCTTGCTTAGTTGAGCAAATATTTCAGGGATCACTGCTGGAGTTCAGAAAGGGCTCTGGGATTGGCCATGGTCTGGGCAAATCCCTTTCAAAGAGGGCTTTAGGAGGGATGATGTTGGTGTAAAACAGACTTCAGAATTCTTCCCAAATCTTTCTCTTTTTTACCAGCCACTCCAGTGCCATCTAATCCCTCCTCTATCACTATTTTCTGTTCTGTCTTTGTCTCTCCTCTTCCCCCCCCCCCTCTTTTCTGGGGTTTATTGTTACCAGTCTCTTCTCTCAGTGGACAGCACCTTGCACAGGATTAAACAGCTGAAACTGAACCAAGGGCTGGTGGGTAGTCAGTCCCCCTGTATTGCTAACCACACAATCCTAAAAACACTCTCCTGGGAGTACACCCTGTTGAATATTGATTTCATTTATATACTGCCTTTCTCCCCAGTGGGGGACAAAAAGCAGCTTACTGTACAGTTCTGTTCATTCCACCTCAAAATCTATATTGTAGAGCTAGAAAAGGTACAGAAAAGAGCAAGGGTCAAGTGGGTGGAGGTGCAGCATCTTCAGTATGAAGCAAGGCTTAGCAGTCGGAGGACTTTTTAGTTTGAAGAAAAGACAACTATGGCTGCGGTCACACGGAGCATTCGCTGCGCTGACGATACGGATGGTAGGCGGATTTTCCGGGCGCGATCACTCACACCGCAACATCTGGGAAGCGTAGAGCTCCCGTGGCTAACCCGAGGCTTCCCGCCAAAGATGCGGAGTTAAAAACCGCGGGGCAAGGGCGGGCGCCTGATCGCGTTTCCGCTGGAATCCTGTGGCATCCGGCGCCCGCCGATGTTCGTTGCAAACAAGGGTGTTTTTTTCTCTCCCAAGTCTCCAAAAGCGCCCAACAGCACATGCGCACAAAGAGCGGTCGCTAGTGTGATCGCACCGCGCGGCTTCTTTGAGTTCGAGAGAGGGCCACGGGAGGCTGCGATGGGGGTGAGCGGCAGAGGCCAGGCTGAGAGCGGGCCACGTGTCCCAGGGAGGGAGGGCTGCTGGCAGGGAGGGGGGGATCTGGCGGGTTAATCTCCCCCTCCCCTCCTTGCAAGCAGAACACGGACTCCACCCGGAGTGGGCCGCGCGAGACCCTCCCAGAGGCCGCGGCTCTTTCCTTTCCCTTTCTCATCAGCCTGGCTGCTCTCAGTGGAGGTGCAGGATACTCGTGTGATCGGCATCTCCCCCCTGACCACAGGACCTCGACCGGGACGTGTGATCGGGCGGCCGCGCGTTATTTTCCTCTGGGGCAAACAGTTACACTTCCCCCTGCATTTTCCAGCCCGTGTGACCACCGCCTATAGCCATTTGCTATATTAGATTTATTTGTTTATATGCTGCTTTTCTTCCCAATGGGGACTGAAAGTGGCTTACAAATTCCCCCTTTCTCCATTTTATCCTCATAACCATGCTGTGAGGCAAGTTAGGCTGAAAGTGTGTGACTGGCCCTAGGTCATCCAGCAAGCTTCCATGGCAGAATGGGGATTCAGACTTGGGTCTCCCAGATCCTATTCTAACACTTTAAGCAGTACACCTAAGTAGGATTATGAGTAATCCTTCTTAGGGCTGCTCTCTAAGGAGGCAATCCTAAATAGGTCTTCTTGGAAGTAAGCCCCATTTTTTTCAATGGGGCTTACTTCCCGGAAAATGTTCTTAGAACTGCATCCTAAATGGTCTTTCTGCACCCTTTATAGGGTTCTGCCGAAGGTGTTTTGTATGCCAATAATTTTAAAGGGAACCTCATGATCCAACAGTTATACACAGCATTTTCTGATTGTAGGATGTTCCCCTTCGAATCATATGCTGCTGCTGCACATGTCTCAAATGAGTTGCTCACTAAATAAACATAAATGTGCAGTGAGGCGAGTGGTTAATGTCTCTCCAAACACCCTCCAGTAATTATTTTAAGGAGATGGCTTGATTTCTGTAATGCACTTGGAAAGTCAATATTTTTTCCCATGTGTTCTTGAAAACACGGATAACCAGGGGCTATTCCATTAAACTGAGTTGAGTCTCCACTTTGAGGTCTAAAAATAGCTCTTTGTAATCAGTTCAGGGGCAAGTTCTGTCTGTAAATCATATTCTTGTGCAAAGAATAAAGGGCCAGTTTCATGGTCATGGTGGGTAATATTCAGTGATCAAGAGCCCCTCCCTTAAGGGATAACATTAGGAGACCTGTCCTGAACACCAGCAATATGGAACAAGTTGGAAGCCACCACAGAGATTTTTGGGTTTGTTTCTTTATTTTGCCGTCAAGTCACAGCTGACTTATGGTGCCCCCATTGGGGTTTCAAGGCAAGAGATGTCCAGAGGTGGTTTGCCATTGCCTGCCTCTGTTGCATGACCCTGCATTTCTTGGTGGTCTTCCATCCAAATATTCACCAGGGCTGAACCTGCTTAGCTTCCGAGATCTGATGAGATTGAGCTAGCCTGTGCTATCCAGGTGAGGGCACCTCACAGTTATCAGCATTTAAAGTTATCAACATTTAAAAACTCTGTGTCTGGAGAGATGGACACTGTTCTGCTGCCTTTCATAAGGAATAGCAACAAACACACAGGGAACACGGCAAAGTTAGACAAACATAAAGAAACACCGTGTTAGAACAAAACACACTCCACTAATATGCACTTGTGTCTTCATATATTGATTTACATACAATAGAGACCCTAGTATATCTTATACACATTCATTATAGTACAAAAACCTAAAGTACATTAGTTGATATATAATGTTTTGTTCTAACACGGTGTTTCTTTATGTTTGCCTTTCATAAGGAGGCAACCACCATGTTAGGTGTAAGCAGAGTCCTTTTTCTTCTGTTTTGGGTTCGAAGGGTTTCAGAACAAAATGAAGCTGTGACTTTCGGGCATGGTGAGTCTTTGCATCTCAGTTTAGGAATTAAACACCTTATCCATTCCTCCGTATTCCAGAGGCTGAGGCTTTTAGAGGTAGTAGGGCTGCCAACTGCAAAGCTTCTGTGCCTTTAGCGTGACAGCAGGGAAGAAAAAAAGCAACGAAGCAAACAGTAGGACCAACATGACTATTATAGTTTCAGGTGGGTTGCAATAGTAGAACAAAATTCCAGTCCAGTAGCTCTAGTAAAGGTAAAGGTTCCCTTGCTCGAAAGCCAGTCGAGTCCGACTCTAGGGTTGCGGTGCTCATCTCCGTTTCAAAGCCGAAGAGCCAGCGAAATTTTAAAGACTTGCAAAATCTTTGTGGGTCAAAGCTCACTTTTTCAGATAACCAGCTGTCACAGTGTTATGCTACTAGTGTTTTTTTATTTGTTCTTCTGGATTAACGTGATTGTCTACAATTTTTAGCATGAGAAATTGTCCCCGTCATTAAGAAGAACTGCTTAAGAACATGAGCCTTGCTGGATCAGACCCATGGTCCCTCTAGTCCAGCACCCTGTCTCACATAGTGGCCAATTAGTTATTCTGGAGGGCCAAGAACGGGGCATACAGCCCAAGGCATTTACCCCAATGTTGCCTCTTAGCACTGGTATTCAGAGGTTTACGTCCTCTGAATGTGGAAGTTCCCTTTAGTCACAGTAGCTAGTAGCCACTGGTAGATGTAAGCTCCATGAATTTGTTTTATCCCCTTTAAAAGCCATCTGTGCCAATGCCTGTGGTCTGTGCGTACTCTAACCTGGGAGAACCGGGTTTGATTCCCCACTCCTCCACTTGCAGCTGCTGGATGACCTCAGGCAAGCCATAGTTCTGACAAGAGCTGTCCTTGAAAGGGCAGTTCTTGAAAGAGCTCTCTCAGCCCCACCTACCTCACAGGGTGTCTGTTGTGGGGAGGGAAAGGAGTTCGTAAGCTGCTCTGAGACTCCAAGTGAAGGGCGGGGTATAAATCCAATCTCCTCTCTTCTTCTTCTTTGGCAGTGAATTCCACATTTTAATCTTTTGCAGAGTAAAAAAAAGTACTTTGTCCATTTTGAATCTATGGCCCATCAACTTCTTTGGGTGCTCCCAAGTTCAAGTATTTTGGGAGAGGAAGCAATGGTTCTTTGTATCCACTATTTTATCCCATGCATGATTTTATAAACCTCTATCATAATTGCTCCATCAGTCATCTAAACTGAACGCATGGAATGCGAAACCCCTGACATGGCTCGACAGAATAGCAATAGTGAGATCCTTCATACTCCCGAAGTACCTCTATCTGTTTAGAACAATGCCAATAGGCATTCCGGCACAAATGGTGAAAACGTGGCAAAAAGATCTCAACTCCTTTGTATGGAGCAAGAAACCAGCAAGGATAACCTATCGCACCATGATAACGCCAAGACGGGATGGAGGTCTGGCGACTCCAGACCTAGAAAGTTATAGAAAGGCAGCAATTTTGGCATCCACTGTGCGCCATTACCACGATACTGACACCCTAGATTGGAGAAGCATCGAAGAATCCAGCTTCTCAGGAGAGTCCTTACAGGAACTAATGTGGCACAAGAACTACAAAGTAATCGAGAGCAAATTGAAGAACATTTTTTCAAAAGCAGCCCTCAGAACGTGGTATGAGGTCAAACCTAAATTAATCTCTAAAAACTCCGTACTTAGTACCTTCACGAGACAATCCTGGTTTAAACCTGCGGAGCAACCACTCACCTTTGAAACTTGGAGAGCTAATAAAATAAACAAAATACATGATGTGGTCTATAACGGGGTAATGAGACTGAAATGTGAGCTAGAGGCAAAGCATCGAACGTCGCTCAACTGGTTTGAATATCTACAGGTGCAGAATTTGATTTTCTCAACAGAGTTCTATGCGAAGAGTAAAGGGCAACTCACGGGCTTAGAAAAGCTTCTGGAATCACCACCTCCAAAAAAAGGACTTCTAGCAAAACTATACAAAATTGTCGTGTCCACTCAAACCCACAAGCAACATAATTACCAAAGAGCTTGGAATGCGGATCTGAGGAACCCATTATCGGAGGATCAGTGGGAGGAAATTTGGCGAACCCAGAGAACCATGTCAAGTTCTCTCGGATTACAAGAATCGAATTTGAAAATCCTTACTAGGTGGCACTTAACTCCAGCAAAACTAACTCACATCTACTCATCGACATCACCATACTGCTGGAAGAAATGCGGTCAGAAGGCGGACTTCTATCATAATTGGTGGTCCTGCAAAGTAATACAGAAGTTTTGGTCGCAAGTATGTAACAGTATCAACAAATTACTAAATACAGACTTACCTTTATCACCGGAGTTGATGCTTCTCCATCTCTGGCCTCAAGTTCGCCCACCTGAAGACACAAATAAATTAGTCAACCTGTTGATAGTAGCAGCAAAAATAACTATAGCTAAAAACTGGAAAAGCAAAAACGCACCGACTTTAGCTCAATGGATTAATAAAATTTGGGATATGTTTATGTTAGAAAACATTTCAATATACGACACGGAAATAAAAACTGAGTGTGAGTTCTATAACCCTTTAAATATTTGGTATCCTATTTTAGGGAAGATTGTCCTAGACAACTTCGACTGGGAAAGTTTAGTCGAAGCGAAATATAAGATAATGATTTACAACTGATATGGCTGAAGTTATTACAACTGGCTCCTATAAGAAGGGGAAGGTTAATAGGTATTCATTGTTTAACCACTGTTTGTTACATGTGTTGAATGAATATTGGATATAGTGTATTGTCCTCTGAATTGGACGCTTGTTAATGTTACGTATTGTATTTTATGGTTTTGAAAAGTTTTAAATAAAAATATTCAAAATAAAAAAAATAAATCTAAACTGAAAAGTCCCAGTCTCTTCAGCCTTTTCTCAAAGGAAAGGTGCTTCTATCCCCTAATCATCTTTGGTTGCTCTGTTCTGTACTTTTACCAGCTCTGCAATATCCTTTTTAGATAAGGTAACCTAGGATAGTCTAGGTTGCAGTGTAGGATAGGATAGGCATAGTGGTGGTACATAAACACCTAGTTTCTTTAAATGAAATTAAGTCTTCAGGGCCAGATGGATTGCATCTGAGGTCACCAAAGGAACTTGCTGTTCCTGTTAGATAGATTTGTAACTGTTTGACAGATCACACCCAAAGGGTGCTTGTTAATGGTTCCTCATCCTCTTGGAGAAGAGTGACAAGTTGAGTGCCTCAGGGATCTGTCCTTGGCCCTATGTTGTTCAACATCTTTATAAATGACTTGGACGATGAAATAGAGGGGATGCTCAAATCTGCAGATAATACTAAATTGGGAGGAGCAAAATACAGTAGAAGATAGAATTGATACAGGATGATCTTGACAGGCTGGAAAACTGGGCAAAAACAGACAAAATGTTCAACAGAAATAAATGTAAAGTTCTGCATCTAGGCAGGAAAAATCAAATGCATAATTATAGGATGAGGGAGGCTTGTCTTGGCAGTAGGACATGCTAAAAGGATCTAGGAGTCTTACTAGACCATACACTGAAGATGAGTCAGCAGTGTGCTGCGGTAGCTAAAAAGGCACATGTGATTTGGGGCTGCCCCATTTCTCATGTCAAGGAACACCCCACTGCCCCACCTCAGAATGTTCTACTCCACCTTTGGCATATGCAGTTATTTACACTGACACTGCATACTTTCCTTTCCCCAATTTAAAAGCAAGCAGAGAATTTATGATTTGGATTTCAGGTAAACAGGCAAAATAGAATTGTCCTGTGAATGTTATCAGCAGTTTGGAATGGGCAACTGTGGTATGTAAAAAGGCAGAGTGAACACTGCTGCTGCCTTAGTATTCTTGCATGCACGCTGACACCAGTGCTGATGTATCCACTCCCCACTTGGAGACAATTTCTAGAGCTCCCAGGGAGGGAGATGAACTCTGATAACGGACAAAACATCCCCCCTTTCCCTAACCAACAGAAACAGTGATTTGCCAGGGACTAGAATAAGACAAGAAAGCATGTGGGAAGCAGAGGAAGTTGGATCACTGGAAGCAGGCCTTCTTGGTTGTGGCTCCAGAGTTTTGGAATTTCCTCTTCAGAAAGGTTCATCTGGAGCCAGATTTGTTTGCTTTTAGGTGCAAGGCTAAGGCACACTCTTATTCTCTCTAGGATTTGGTTAATCTCCCCTGGGTACAGATATTTTAATCTCTGCTCCAAGTGAGGGTTTTTAACAGATGTTTAGTCCAGGCTTTTTGATTTTTATCAGTTTGGTGATGATTCGGAGTTTTCAATGGCTTGTTTGGAGGATTTTGGTTTGTCCGCTTGTCTTTTATCTTGCTTAAAGGCTTTTCTTGTACTCCTTTCAAAAGGCCCCTCCCCCACATCGCTGCTTCTGTTGTGACTTTTAAACGGTTGTTGTTGTGAGCCAGGGATGTTGCACTGATGGAGCGTTGTATCAATATTTTTAAACAAAACCTATAATAACTGTATTAAACTGCTTCTGACTATGGAGTGTCTCTGTGGCATTCCCACGGCCAGTGGCCGCAGAGGAAATCTACCAAGGGTCGCTGAACCGGCCTCTCACGTCACGCTTCGGCGGGCTTTCCAGCCCTGGGGAGGCGCCAGCTGGCATCACTGCCCCGTCTCCCCGCAGGGGGGCGCTGAGCTTCGGCCGGGCAAGCTTCGTCGCCTGCTTCTCCGGCTAGCCCTCCAGCCCTGGCATGCCCAAAGGGGACTCGCTGGCTGCAGACAACCGCCCGTAGCGTAGAGCGCAGCGCGGCGCGCCTCGGCGAACCCTCCGGTGCCGGCAGCGGCTCCTCTTGCGCCTTTACGCACGGCTCGGCTTAGCCAGAAAGAGTTCGGCGGGAGGAAGAGAAGACGGCGGGCGAGAGTCGCTCCATCCTCCTCCGGGACTCCCGCAGGTGAGTGAGGGCGGCCGGGGCCTCTGTGCACGGGGCTCTCCGAGGGGGCTGGGAGAAGGGGGAGTAGCGGGGTATAAGCTACACCACCGCCAAGTCCCGGGACCCGTTTTCAGCGTCAGGTCTCTGCCCTGCCGCAACAGGTGAAGAAGTAACCCAAGTGGAATGCCTCTGAGCGTTTATGAAGACGCTCGGAGAGGATGTGGCGATGAGCAAAGTGGTCAGATGCAAAAGGTGGAAGAGCACACCTGTGCCTTTAAGTGGGGAATAGGAGCAGGTGGTGTGCCAATGACAACCAGCGTCTGCGAAAATTGCCTCTTCTTGCACTTACAGGTTTTCCGCTGGCCTCTGGCTGTCCTCCCAGTCCCAGTGATGGACTGCTATGTGTTTTCATATTATTTGCCCAGAGGCTTCTCCTTGGGATATTTGGAGCAGGAAAAAGTCCTGGCTTTCTCCCAAATGAAAGTAAACAAACAGCCTTCTCTGCACCCATTACTTAATACAAGGTGATGGGTGATAGTAGCTAATGCTCCAGCCTTGTAGCAGTATTTCTGGCAAATAGCCATTGAGATGGGTGCTCATTGTGTTTTCCTTTTTTAGAACTAGACTTTTTAAAGGATTCCTCTCCCCCATAGACAGACACACACATACACAAACATCTAGTACAAATGAAACGTGGGCTTTGCCCCTGATCTGTTTTCAGCTCCAAGACTCAGCTGTGGAATGTCATAGTAAAATGTCTCTGGCAATGTGCAGAGTGGTATTTACAGTGACTTTAGCTGCCCAGGTCCTGTGTTCAGGGGATGTATCCTTTATGACAGGAGGTGTGATGTCCACAAAAGGTGGAACGTGCACCTCTCATTTTAGAAATTAAGAATGGCTGTTGGTGGTGATAGGGAAATCCTGTCTTGGGTTGTGTCAACAGGTTGGTGTTTTTGTCTGCGCCTCTCCAGAGTCTCAAGTTTGGGGTCTTTTCCAAAGATACTTTTAAAAGGAAATGCTGGAGGTTGAATCAGGGGTGTTCTCTGCAAAGCAGCAGGTGCTCCACTGCTGAGTTGTCCATCTGCCTTGAGCCAAAGAATACACAGATTAAAATGTTGAGTCCTCAGGCATCTCCAGCACTTGATTATATATATAGGAGGTGAAAACAAAGCCATCTGGTAAAAAAAGAAGACTGAAATCAAGGTAACCTTTGGAAGTCACTGTCTTTCAGCCTAACCTACCTGACAGGATTGGTGTGAGGACAGAAATGAGGAAGGGGGAACCTGGTACCCCACAATGTGCTCCTTGTAGCAAGAGGGATAGATAGATTTGTATTGAATGGAAGAGGACTGTCTTCATCATGGACCCAACAGAGCTGTGCAGATTGCCCTCAATGCAGCCTCCAAGGTCATGATGAGCCCTGCCATTCTCTTTCAGCCCAGATCAGATGTTCGTAACTGTGAGAGTCTGGAACATGGGGGGTTCCCAGGGGAAGGGACTTCTGGAACTGTGCAGAAGGAAGTCTGTTCACACGGGCAGAGAGGAAAACATAGCTGGGTAACTATGCCCCCTCCCATCTGAGCATCTATGGCTGCGGTCACACGAAGCATTAGCCAAGCTACAGAGACAGAAGATAGTCGGATTTTCCAGGCGCGATCAAACCACAACATCTGGGAAGCGTAGAGCTCCCGTGGCTAACCTGAGGCTTCCTGCCGAAGATGCGGGGTAAAAAACTAGTACCTCTGAGGTACTAGTTTCCGGAAACCACGGGGCAAGGGCGGGCGTCTGATCACATTTCCGGTGGCAGCTCGGGGCATCCGGCGCCCGCCCATGTCCTGTTGCAAAAAGGTTTTCCCCCCAAGTCTCCACGGGATGCGCACAAGCACCCAACGGCACATGCGCACACTTCGGTTAAAAAACAACAACACAACCCCCACCGCACCGCTTCTTTGCCGCGCTGCAGAATTGATGTATGATTGGCATCTCCTCCCGAACCACGGGACGTCGGCGGGACGTTTGATCTGGCGGCCACGCGGTAGTTCACTCCGGGCAAACAGCCACGCCTCCCCCCCCGCGATATCCGGCCCGTGTGACCGGGGCCTGTCTTAAGGAAGTGTTGTGTTGGAATGATCGGAAAGCTTGCCCCCAGCATCTGGGACCATGACTGGTCCTGCTGAGCATTGTTCGCCTTGCTCTCCCTGCATTTCTCCTGTCTGTCCTCCAGAAACATGGCCTTAGCAGTTTTTATTTATTTATTTACATCTTAGATTTCTAGCCTGCCCTCCTCTGTACAACAGGGCTCAGAGTGGCTGACAATAGTAGTCATATAAATAATATTCATAATTTGAAAATTATGAAAACAACTCTTACAGTACTACAGGCAACTGGTAAATTGGTATATAAAAAGGGAACCCCGACATGGTGCCCCTCATCCAGGGGAGAATAAATATCACACAGAATGGTAAATAGAGAATAACCAACAGGGGAGTGGGGAAGGGATACGGGGGAGGGAGGGAGGGAGGCCAGCCTTGATGGAAACAAATTGCTGTCCTCAGCCATAGGCCTGGCGGAACATCTCTGTCTTACATGCCCTATGGAACTGCATTAGATCCCACAGGGCATGGATCTCACTTGGCAGAGAGTTCCACCAGGCCTGGGCCAGGGCCAAAAAAGGGCCGGCTCTCGTCGAGAATAGCCGGATACTGTTCAGGCCAGGGATCACCAGCTTGCGGGGTAGGGCGGGGTGTAAATTTAATAAATAAATAAAATAAATGCATAAAATAAGTTGTTGTCCATTGAGCATAATGCTCTTTGGGTTTTGCGGCTCACCTACATTTATGGGTGCAAATGCTAAAAATGCCCTAACCTAGTTTAACTTGGGGCCAGGATCACAGGGGTGGGGCCTGGGTTTGGCCGGGAAGCTTCCAGGCTGGTGCAGGATTCCGTCTTTTTGTGCTCGTTGCACAGTGCTGCAGCTTGCCAAGGGCATGTTGAGCTCAGACGCGGTGAGCAAAGGGGAGCTTGGCTGGTGTCTGCAAAGCTGGGAGGATGGGGGTTATGTGTATGTCCATCCAGCACATTTTCCTTGGGCCAAGGAGGTACTTGGGATTTGTTTGTGTTTGTGGTTGAGGCATGCACAGGCAACCCCATGGCCAGTGGATGAAGCATGAGCCGCTGAGGATGGGTGGCCAGGTCTTGGAGGCCTCTGCGCCAGGGATGCACGGTCAGCCTATGTGATTGGCAGGCAGTCCAAAGTCTGGCCTGATCAGTATAGCAGAACCTGTTGCAGCCTTCAGGGATCCTGGGACACCCAAGAGGTTTTTGCCTGGTATGGCTGCCTAAGCCCAGCTTTAGCTCCGTGTGGGTACGTGTGCCTTTACGTATGTTTCACTTTCCCCCAAGACATGTGACTCAGCTCACTTCTGTGAGTCAGCTGCAGCCAGATATCTGCTCTGCAGGCACCTCTTTGATGTGGCTGTTTGCTGTTCCTTTCTCCCTTTTCACAAGAGACAGGCAAGGCCTCCCATTTCTCTCTTGGTTTCTGTTTCTTGGGCAGGTTCTGCTTCTTCAGCTGGCTTCTGCTCTTCAGAGCAGAACCCAAGCAAAAGGAGGAACCCTTCCGTATATAAAAGGAGCTGCAGATACCCCTGAAAGACAGCTGCAAGGATGCTGGGTAAACTTTAAAAAGGCAAAAAATTAGAGGAGGCTGAAGTTGGTTCCTTATTCGCACTTCCTTATTCATTCCTTATTCGTTACTTATTCGTGCAGTCATTCAGAAGCACTAAGGAGAGTTGGAAAGCTCTGAACCCCAAAATAAGGTCTGGACCGCCACATATCATATACCCCCCACATTCACAGGACTCTCCCCTTCCAGGGGACACATTCTGTGTGCTTGTCCAAAGCACGGTTCTGGTGCCAGCTGCTCCAAAGTGCGTGCCCCTAGGACAATCACACAAGCAGACACTGGGGCCAGGCTGCACACCCCCCCCCCCAAAAAAAAAATCTTTAAGCACACAGAATGTGTCCCCTGGAACTCTCCTTAGTGCTTCTGAATGACTGCACGAATAAGTAATGAATAAGGAATGAATAAGGAAGTGCGAATAAGGAACCAACTTCAGCCTCCTAAAAATAAGCCAGGTTTTGGTGGCACCTCTGGATGTTATTTTTCTGTTCCTATCTGTGCACTGGAACTGCTCTCTTGTTTCAGAATATCTTTGCAACATTTGTTCTGTCTACTCTGGTTTCTGGATTGCATTAGGTGACCTGGGCTTTGCAGCCTTGCCTGACATTCCAGGCTGGACTAGATGGTCTTGGAGCACCTTTCTTCATTTATGCTTCAAGAGCAGCAGTCAGCCCTGGTGTGAACATGGCGTTTCCTAGCAACCAGCTACAGTGTTACAGTTTCCAAAAACCAGTGGAAACAATTGTTGTTCTTGTAGTTGCTTTTCTTCTCCCTCCCCCCCCCCCAGGTAATTCTATGCACTTTCTTATGGGTGGAGGGAGACTGGAGCGTAAGGAATCTCCTGTCAGCTGCTTTGCAAAGTGATGTGGGCTCACATTTCAGCCTGCCAGCTCTGTGCTCATGGAACAGGCGTGGAACTGCTGCTGTGGATGTTTTTCAGGGTGCCTCCCACCCTCAGAGCTCTCCAGTGTCCTAGGCATGACCCTTCTCTCTTGGATGTGATCTGCAGTTGAGGAGAAAGGCGGGGGAGTGCTTGTGCAGATGTTGCATCCAGACAATCTAAAGTCTGTAAGCTGCACTAATTGATCGAATGTGCATGCATGCGCTTATTTTAAGAACAAAAGAATTACTGTGATCGTCTGAAGGGTCCATATAGTTCAGCATCCTGTTTCCACCCTCACCATCTCTGTGTCTTTGGGAAGCCTCTAAGCAAGACAAGTAGGCAACAACTGCCCCCTGCTGTTGCTCCCTCCCTGTACCAGCCAGCTGGCATTCAGAGTTTCACTGCCTTTGAGGTCCCATTTGGTCCATCACGGCTCCTCCCTGAATTTGTCTCATTCCTCTTTAAAGCCAACTGAAGCTAGTGCCTGTCACCCCATCTTGTGGCAGTGAGTTCCACAAGTTAATTGTATGTCGATTATAGAAAGAGTTAAAGGAATTATGCGGTGAATGGGAGGAGCAAGAAAGCCCTGAGCAAGTGCTCAGGCCTCACCATTTGGCCAATAGAAATCTGGCCTGGTCCTCTTCTCACTTCTGCAAGTAACCGACCCGTTCTGAGCTTTGACTGCAGTGCTCACTTATCTTTTCTTGCATCTCTTACAGTGTCTCCCCCTGTTGTCCAGAGATGAGCTTTACTTCAAAATAGATGTATATGTTCTCAAGCTGCTGGGTTCTGCAGTGGCCATCTGTCTGGTTCCTGCCAGGCAGGCCCTTTTTCTCCTGCAAGGGAGAGGGCCTTTTCTGCAGAGAAGCCTCATGTCTGGAACAACCTCTCAGGAGAGATTCACCCTGTGCCTCCCCTGGCAAGTTTCAGGCACCAGGCAGAAACGTTCCTTTTTACTCATGTTTTGCGATTTCTTACTGTTGTGGTTTTAGGTTTAGATTTTTTTGGGTATGTTGTATTTTTCTCTTTTTCTATGGCCGTGCGCTGTCTTGTGAGCTTGAAAGGGTCGAAAATGTGGGGTACATGTTTTTAAAATTAACTTCATGTTTTTTAAATCTCACTGTTTTCCCAAGGGACTCAGGGTAGTGCATCTGATTTCTCCTGACTCCATTTTGTCTCGCCCTATAAGCTAGGCTGCAGCAGCCCCAATAGCCCAAACTAGCCTATTCTCACCAAAGCTTGGAAGTTACGCAAGGTCAGTACTTGGATGGGAGATGACCACCAAGGAAGATGGAGGCTGCTGTGCTGAGGAAGGCCATGGCACCCCACCTCTGCTCATCTCTTGCCTTGAAAACCCCATCAGGTGGAACTTCATGGGGCCACCATAAATCAATTGGAACTCAGTCACACCCTTAATTCATGAGCTAATCTAGGCTGAAAGAGGTGGCCTGACCTAAGGTCACCGAGCGAGCTTCATGGCTGAATGGGGTTTCGAACCCGTCTCTTCAGTTCTCATTTGGCACCTCTAACCACTACCCCACACTGACTCCCCAGTAAATTGCATACTGGTGTGGGAGACTGGTAGAAGGAACACAAACTGCCTGGTTCCACTGCAGCAGTCAGCTTTTGTGTGTCTTGAAAAAACAGCATCCCAGATATTAACTCAGTCTGTGAGGCAGAAATGGAAAATACGCTAATGGCCTGTCTGTATAAAACTGGTGTTTGGCCCGCTGTCGGGATCTTTTCCCTTTCTTCTCTTTGGCTCTCTGGATGAGGTAGTAAATTCTTGCTGTGTAGGGCTGTATGGCCTGGGAGACTCTGGAGGGGCCCCCCTGAACCCTTTAGGGTTGACGTACAAAGACTATTTTATAGGCAGTAAATGTTTCAAAAAGTGAAGCCAGCGAGTAGATTTTCCTCCCAGGGCCCTGGAATAAAGCTTGCCCTTTTCCAGACGCTTCCCCGTCCTAGTCTGGGTGGCGGTGCTTAGCAGAACACAAAGAGCCTCACTTCTTAGAAAGAAGAGTTCCTACGCCTTGCACTGATCTTAATGGGTTGTCTCTGGTGCCGGGTAGGGGGGTGGGGTGGAGGAATTCTCCAATATACAAAAGGCCCATTGAGGGATTACGTCAGGCAAGCAGGAGACCAAACGTGGGAAAGACTCGTAGGTTCCCCACGGAACAGAGAGCACCAAGGCAGTGTGGGCAGTGAGGCAGTGCGTTCCAAACGGTCCTGGGATCCCTTGGGGTTTCTCGGACACTTCTGAGGCATTCCTAAAAGAGAGGATCTCTAATGGCAGAAGAGGAGTTCCCTGAAGAGTAGCTTGTCCACCAAGCGTAATCTTCCTTTTCAGTAGACATCCAGAGGTGCAGGAGCCAATGTTCCCTCTAAGCCGTGGAGTCTTGTGAGCAAATATTCTACTTTGTGAGCTACTGGCATTAACGTTGTGAGCGAGCAATTTGGCTACTGCATAAATTAGTTTGCTCTGGAGCCATCCTTCCTGAGCTAAGACAAAAAGGTGTGAGCCGGAGTCTAAAAAACTGTGAGCTAGCTCACACTAACTCAGCTTAGAGGGAACAGTGGCAGGAGCTGTGGCTTAGTAGCGGAGCACCTGCTTCGCATGCAGGACGTCTCAGGCTCTTTCCTTGGCATCTGGGATTAAGGAGCTCAGCCAGCAGGCACTGGGAAAGACTTTCCTCTGCCTCCATAAGAGAGATGGTGCCGGTCCAAGTAGATGATTGGTCTAGATAGACCTGTGGTATAAGCCAGCTTCATACGTTCTGAGAAGAGAGTTGGGTATGTTTTAATCTAGGGCATCCTGTAGGGAACTGAGTGCGACCCCCGAGAATGCTTTGCAATGCACAGCAGATGGTGCGGGGGTGGGGGGGCGCTTCATGCTTGAGACAGAATGGAAAAAGGGCTCCCTGAGTGTCTTGCTGCCTCTGCTGCAGGCTTAATGTCTGGCCTTGGGGAAAGCAGCTGTCTCTCAGTTCTCTGCCTGTAAAGGGGGACCAACGTGGTTCTGCCTCACAGGACTTTCCCCTCAGCAGCCGGTGCTAAAACCCCATTTCTCTTTTCTCTCTCCACAGTGCCCGTCTCTACAATGTGTGAGATGGGGCTGGCCTCCCTGGAGCTGTCCAGTCTCTCACCGTACTGCGGGGAGACCCCTGACGCTTACTGCCACGATGACCGCTGGCAGAGGCTGCGCACAGCTGTCAGGAGACTGGAATTCTGGGAAAACTTTGATGTCGAATTGATAGGCAGTGGCTTTTTTTCCAAGGTGTACAAGGTATGACGATTATGTTGTCTGAAAGCAAACTGCAGCTTGTAAAACCCATTCCCTGCGATTTTCCAGAATAACTTTCTTTGCCGGCAGTCCATTCTGTACTTTCAGGTGGTTGAGGAGATTGTGACATCATGAGCAAAGAACGGGGGTAGTGTCTTGCCTGGCACATCTTGACTACACATTTTAAATTGGTGAACAATCACCACATTCCTCCAGGGCTCTAAGATCTGTGTTTTGTGAGGTTGTTGGCTGTTCTTTGTTAGAGATCCGTCACCCCATATAGAACTACACTCGCTTGAGTTTCTAAACTGGGAGACACCTTGACAGGTCAGCCACTGGTTTCCGCTTGTAACGCAGGCACACCCTTCAATGACACAGCCCTAGCAATGATTCTCCTCTTTACTGCAAACTCAGCACACATCGGAAAGTAGAAGGAATGGTGCTTTAATTCAGAATTATCCAAGACTCATTGGGAGGTCATCAAGTAAGAAAATATGGTCACTGAGACAGTGGTCCAAGGCTGAAGAATCATTCACTTAAGAAAGCTGGGGTTCTTGACTGAACAAAAGAAAAAGGAAGATTGGCCATAAAATTGTGTCTTCCCTGCCTGCTGATTTTCCTTTCCGGATGCCTCCCTGGGCAATTGTGAGCTGGCTCCTGATCTGTCATTCCCACCTACTCATTTCTGCCTCTCTCTTGCCCCCACTTGTTAGCAAATTGCTGTGGTGACGATTGCTGTATTTTTGTTCTCAGTGATCTTTTTACAGGCCCTGCCACTGCATGGGATTTTTTGACATGCATCGTTTCAGAGAAAAAGAGCTTTGCACAAAAAGAAGTAGTGTTTAAGGACAGGCATGACCCCCCCCCCTTTTATTTGAGGAAGAAGAGGGAAACTCTGGGCTTTTGTACATTTTTTCGGGTATGAGTGGTAGTGTATCATGTCAGAGAAACCTGTACTGTCTCCTTATAATTTTGTACTATAGAAAAATATCCAGTGTTTGAATTTGCCTAGTACCCTGGAGGTAGCTCACACAGGATCCTGGATCTTTCAGCAGCCCATGGGTTCTTGGCCACGAGGCTAGTGCCTTGGAGGCCTGGGTTCAAATCCTGTCTTATTCAGCTCTAAAGCCTGCTAATTGGCCTTGGTCAAGTCACTGACTGTCAGGCTGATCTGCCTCACAGGTATGGTGTGAGGCTAAAAATGCCACTCTGAGTTCTTTGGAAGGATGGGATGCTAACAGAGCAAGCAAAGTGGGGTGGCCAGCTGTCTAATTGCCTGCCTTTTAACCAAGTCAATTAGACTTAAATGTATTTGCACAGCTGCACTATGTGTGCCTGCTTTGAGATGCTGAAGGACGTGGCAGGTGGCTTGCTATTTAGGAGACTTATTTATTTATTTATCATATGGCAGAGTTACACACAGGAAACATATAATAATATAAAATACATAACTAAATCAATACAATGGGTATGCAGACCAATTGGATAATCCCCCTAAATACTAATATTCACATTTTCAGTCCACTCAATTGCAGCTGGGGAGAGTTCAAAGAGCTCTGTTACATCTCCCTGGAAAGCATGATGCTCACATTCCTGTGACAGATGGAAAATAATTTGGCTGGTTGCATTTAGGAGACTCAGGTCTTTTCAATGGGGCTTACTCCCAGGAAGTGTTCTTAGGATTGTACTGCAAGAGTTTTATTACTTGGTCCATGACTGGGTTCTCCACTCTGACCATAACTTCCCCTGCAAAAGGCCTGTTTCGGTCAGGAGGTCCACATTGCATGAGACGAGGCATCAACACACACACCCGCACTGTGTTTCTTTTCTGGAATGGGGAGAGTCTTTAACTAGGCGCTAGATGGATGAGGAAGGTACAAGAGATTATAATCCCCCGATGAAGCTAACATTAAATGCTCAGGGATCGGACTATAAAATATTTCCTTTTATTGTGACCGGAATATAAAAATATTTTAAACCTAGTATTATCCAAGAAATATTCTTTTTCTTTCACCATTGGCTTTTTTGCCCACATTTGTTGGTTCCTGATATGGCCCTTTTCCTCACTAGGGTCGCACATATACAGGCAAGGTACATGCAGTTTCTTTCTCCCTATGTGACATGGCCCTGAATCCTTCCATCCACTCGTCCACTGTCAGGCTGTCTGGAACATTCTTTGTAACAGGAGCATACCTGGGTCAGAACAGCCTTGAAAAACAGGCAGGCAGGCAGGCTCTTCCCTGACAGTCCTGCTGTTCTAAAACTATCTCTGCTGCCAGATCAGTGGGCAGCCTGATCTGATGCAAGATTAGGGATGCTTCAGCACATTGAAAGCATTGGGATTGTGCAGATGGCTAGGCTGTTCAACTTCAACCTTGTTTACTGTACCATTTGCAGGAAAGGGTTTGGATCATACCCAAGGCCTTTGTCACACCTGAATGTGTTGCATTCAGGGGTCATTTCATAGAAAAAGAGGTGCAGGAGCTCATTAGCATAACTCATTAGCATAACTTATTTACATATGGCACACCCCCTGACATCACCAGAAGTGTGTCAGAAGGCAACACCCACCGCTCAGGCTCCACTGGACTGTTTTGGATTGCTAGCTTCTGGTGGGGGCAGATCTGTCCTCGCAGAGGAGGGAGAGCTTGTACCTGAATAAAACTTGGTCTTAAAGGTGCCACTGGACTGTTTTGGGCCGGGGGGGGGGAGGGAGCTCTGCAATTTACCTGGCTGCTTCTTGCTCTGACTGAGGGCTGCTGGGAGCAGGGGGTGGGGCTTGTTGCATGTGCCCGCCCCCTGGGCTCTTTACTGCCGGAACTCCGCTCCTGTGCGCTCCTGCAGGAAATGACCCCTGGTTGGATTAGAACCTCAAAGATGTTCAATTGCTTATTGATTATCACATTTATATCCCATCATTTCTTCAAGGAAATCAGAGTTGTGTACATGGATGGGATGATCCTCTTTTTAACTCCCAACAGCACTGTGGGGTAGGCTGGGCTGGGAGAGAATGACTGGCTGAAGGTCTCCCAATGATTTACACCATGTTGGCTATCAACATACAACACGAGGACTTGCAGGAGATCCTTGGCTTCCTTAAAGTTTGCGAAACGATTAGCAGACCTGCTGTTTGCTTTCTTCACTTTTTAAACAAATAGCTGACTGGCTGCTTTTTAAGACTTTGGCTGCCAACAGAAAAGGGTTTTGTGCTTGAAGCACTCAGTGCTGGGCCCAACATGGCCCTTAGATCCTTTAATCTAGCCCTGACTTCAGCCACCAGTTTTGCTCCTGCCCCATATTTAGAGCAGATTGTCCATTATCTGGTCATTCCATCTCTTTGTTGCCTTACTGAAAATAAAACCTAAAAGGCTAAAACTTCTCCAGGGACAATGGGAAGGAAAGGTTTCATGGTGACACAGGCACCAGCCAATAAGGACTGTGTATGGCAGCCTTCTGCTGCAAGCTTGAATAATTGTATCCCTAACCCAAACTTGATCCTGTGGATGAATACATATCTTTGGATTAATGGCACTTCCATCCAGATTGGTCTTGTTCTTCCAACGATATTACATGTGTCTTCACTCTGATCTGATGTTCTGTTGGCTCTGCATAGGGGTCTACCTAGCTTGAGCTGGGCTGGATCAGTGGCCATGTTGTCTGGGCTGTAGGATGAAGCTGCATAGTGTCTGTCATTCAAAGGTTGCCTAAATAAGCAGCTAATCCAAAATGAGAATTTCAGCCATCCTTTAGGCCAGGTGGGTGGCTGTCTGCCAAGCCTTCTCTGTTGTGGCATCTAGATTATGGAACTCCCTGGCTGCAGCTGTTTGGCCAGTGCCAAGTCTGTCAAATTTTAAGCGTTGTGTGATAATGTTTTTATTTCCCAGACTTCAATCCACTTCTGATGCCTTAGTCCATGTGATCTACCATGCTTGTTTCACTGCTTGCTTCTGCTACTGCTATTGATTTTTAAATGGTTTACTCTGCTTTTTATCATTTTCCTGGTTTTATCATTTTTATTGCTTCCGTTTTTCTATGGTTGTTTGCTCTGTGAACTATGAAGTTGATCTTCTTTTGTGGCAGTGCTCTTTCATTCCTATTTAAATGGTTCATTATTGTTTATGTGACGTGAGCCGCCTCATGAGCTTTTAGCCAATAAACAGAATCAGCCAAGAGAGTTAGCGGCGGATTGTCACATTTTTGGAGTGGAGCTGCCCCCTTGAGGCTGGCATCCAGGAAGCTGTCCTCTCCAGAGCTCTTCCTCCCCCAGACTGGCTGTTTCTCAACACTGGATGATTCCTGGTTTGTTCTCCCCCTTTGCTAGGGTTTGACATTTTGCAGAGGGAACTGAGCGTGACCGTTCCTAAGTTCTTGATGACCCGCTGTCTCTGATGCGCTTGGCCTTTCACCACCACCAAGTCCCTTCTGTTTCTGGCTTGCCAACAAACCTTGGAGAGGTTTTTGTGTTGTTTTTTGCTGTAGAAGCAGTCTTCCCTCAAAGAGGGATGCATTTCTTTCCTTTTAAAAAAGGGCTTACAGCGCAATCTGAAAGCAAGGCCAAGTAGCAGACTAAAATCTTGCCTGAAGCTTTGATGCTGCAGAGGCCTGCTTGCACCAGGGTCCAATGCTCTGAGCCCTTTTGCCAGGCATCCTTTTCTTTCTTATGCTCTCTGCTGATTTGTGTGTGTGTGTGTGTGTGTGTGTGAAACTGTTGTGCTGGAAGAAGGAAGAACTTTGTTGTTTAAAAAGATCCAACATCTCAGTTTGGTGTAGTGGTTAGGAGCGCAGACTGTAATCTGGAAGAACTGGGTTTGATTCCCCACTCTTCCACATGCAGCTGCTGGTGTGACCTTGGGTCAGTTATAAGTTCTTTCAGAGCTGTTCTCTCAAGAGCAGTCCTTGAAAGAGCTCTCTCAGCCCCACCGAACTCACAAGGTGTCATTTGTGGGGAGGGGAAGGGAAAGGAGATCATAAGCCACTCTGAGACTCCCCAAGTGAAGGGCAGG